TCCAAGCCATTTTGATCCTGAGGTCAATACATCTATACCTTGAGATAGTCTTAGAAGTCATTGGGCAACTTGCACAACTGACTTGAGAATAAGAGTGATATGTCTCCAGTTGTGCAAACTACATCATGGTTGTTCCATTCCATGTTAACTGAAATTGGCAAACCATCTTCACCAAGCAGAAGGCAGCGTGGTCACCTAACCTAAAGGTTCCTGAGATGTCCATGTGTCCACCTGTCCCCGATGCTCCTAGTCTGGATAAGCTTCCTTGATACAGATGTTTATTGCTTCATCCAGTCAGACTTCCTCAGTCCACTTAGCAATAATTCTCTTTCCTTAGTCCCTCCTCAACCTGTCAAAACACTTTGAATTTTGAATTTAAGAGAACAGTTGTTCATTTGTCTGCTGGATTCCTGAAGCTGGTCTTCTTGTCCTGAGCTTCACCAATGTAAGAGTGATAGAGACATGTGTCCTGAGTATTTTTTTTTTTTGTTTCTTCACTGTAACACATGGGCTATTTTAAAACCTGTCAGTTGTACTCAAGCATAAACAGTTTATTAAAAGTCTTAGCCTGATACATTCTGATTAAAATTTTAAAAAAAATGTTTTCAGGTTCAGTATGCAACATGCCATAAAACCAATTTGAAACAAGGATCTCCTTAAATATAAGGAATATATAAATACAGGGAAGGGTTTTTAATAATTTTTTGAAATTATCAGTATTATCATGTTCTCTCTTGCCCTGCCTCTTCTCATAATATTGTTCAGGGACCAGACTGTATTGTCTGTCATAGTTATCCTATTGTTTTCATACCACCTCTTTCATTATTGAAATGTAGCAAATCAATTAAAGGGAAAAAGAGAGAATGATTCCACCATGATCCAGTTCATGCGTAGCATCAAGCCATCATTTTCTTAAGGAAGTCATCTTTGATTCGGTCTACAGGTTCTGGCTAAACCAGAAATGCTGGTTTATTTACTGCATCAGTTGGATTCACACAACATGCCAAGGTGAAGCCAAAGAAAGTGCTTGATGGCTTTGCATAATATGTGCATCCGGCCAATGTTTCTTGACAGGTAGTGAAGCAAAACTCCTCATCCCTTCTGAAGCCAAAGATTATTTTACATATGAACCTGAATCAGATTGGTAAGATTCAGAGAACATTTTAAAGTTCCTAAATCTTGATTCATATCTTTTACCAAATATTTGCAGAACAAAAGAGACAGTTGGATACAGCAAAAATCCGCATATGTACAGAATGATATTAAAAGAGAGCTTTCAAATTTAAAAAAAGGTTTACACATTTGACAAGACTCCTTCCTTCTACCAAACCAGACCTCTGTTTTCAAGATGTTTTTCTATTTCTATTCCTGGCTTTCTGAAGATCTGGCTGCCCATGGAGTGGTCCAAAATATTTTGCTACTTGAGGTAAAAGCCAAGATTGTGCTGTTTCTGGGATACAGGAATGCTGACTGCCGTGGGTGGTCCAGAGGACCTCCAGCCTCAGTCCCAATTCCTACCTGCTTGCTCTGACAGCATCTGGCTCTGCTTCAGACAGATGCAACAGCATCACCAACCACGGCTCAATGCCTGTCCATTCCCATCCAGATGTTCCATATGAAAGAGTCCTCTTGGACCCCCAATTTTCTACCCTTCCTGCCAGCTTCTCGGAATGCTGCTTCCACGCAGAGGGATGGCAGAGTTCAGAAAAAACAACTTCTGATGTCTGTTGAACAGCTGGGTTTTTTTGTTTTTTCTGGTCTCCTTCCAATCTGTTGTTGCCAGATTGTAGATGCCAAAAGGCCAACAGGCTAAAAGGAGTGGGCTTCCCCATATCAAAGGTTCCTAAAATATTTGCCCTCACACCTCCCTTTAGTGTAATCTTAATGTACAGACATCTCCATAAAAATCCAAATGCTACAATGAACATGGAGTAAACGAACAATGAAAACAGCACAAGGAAACTTTGGAAAAGGTGGATTTAAACATTGCTGTGCACTTCACAGTTTGGGAAATCCTGCCCTATAGATTATACTTTTTAATAAAACATATAGGGCAGGGTTTCCCAAACAGTGAGTTGTTCCTCCTTTGGAGAGGTGCAGAGAATAACAGAATAACAGAGTTAGAAGGGACTTTGTTGTTGTTGTTGTTATTTGTTTTTTATTTATTTAAATTTTTTATTTTATTTTTAATCCATCATCCATTAAACAATGTGTCATCTGGGTACAAATATCCTGTGCATCAACAATCAAAGTTTCCAACCATAACCATTTACATTAATATTAATTCTCTACTCTTAGCTTATTACTAATATACATAATATGTCTAATTGTTATAATAATTCTCATCTTAATGTATTGACTTCTATTAACTTATTGGCTGTATTTCATTAGTCTTCTTTTGTTTCTAACTTTCGTATTTCTTCCCTAACCATCGATAAAATGATTCCCATGTCATATAATATTCAGTTCGTTCTTTTGGAAGGAACTTCAACTCTCTGCCCCAGCAAGAAATCTTATACCAGGGGTGTCAAACTCAATTTCATTGAGGGCTACATTAGGGTTATGTTTGACCACAGGGGCCTGGGAGTGTGCACAGCCAGGGTGGGTGTAGCCAGCTCGACATCACTCATTGAGGCTCCGTTTTCAGCCGCAATGACCTCCTGCAGCCCTCTGCCAGGCCTTCACAGAGACACCATTGGCTGGTCCTTTGCTGTTTCCAAGGTGGCACCACAGGCCAGATCTAAGTATCCCATGGACCTCATCCAGCCCACGGGCCTTGAGTTTGACACCCCTGCCCTTTCAGACAAATGGCTGTCCAATTTCTTCTTTAAAAACCTCCAGTGATGGAACGCCCACAACTTCCGAAGGCAAGTCGTTTCATTGTTCTGTCAGGAAATTACTCCTTGGTTCTACAGATAATCTAAGGGAGGTGTGTGTTAGATCTGGGGTGGATCGGTTCGAAGGAGACGCGAGACCATCTTAGTGAGTTCAGCTCTTTATTTAGGGTAAGAATAGTCTGAATAATACAAGCCGCGGCAGCCCTTCATATAGGGCTGGCTCGCGGCTCTGCGGCCAATGGCAGCGCTTTGAATCTCCCGCGATCGGTGCAGCCAATCGCGGTAGATTCTTAGCGCTCCAATCACGGCCGGGGTTTCGACCAATCAGGTCGCTGTCCGTCCGGACCAATCAGTTGTGAGGGTTTGGAGTATGCTAATATAGTACAGTGTGAACAGCCTCCTTGTCTAGTTCTCAATCACCAGGCTGAATTGGGAGGCCAGGGCAGGTGATGTGACCTCCCCAGCTGTCTTCCAGCAGCCAGGATGAAGTTCTTGAAGAAAAGTCAGGGAGCTGCCCTTCCCTTCCCCCGCCCTGGCATTTGCCACCTGAGATGGTCACCTAACTTTGCACTATGTCTGAATGCTGCATTTGTCCCCAGCCATAGTGAGCTGCTGGTTCCTAAAATTCTTTGGCAGGGTGGATGAATGTGCTTTAGAAGGCCTCATGCATTGAATCCCCCAAGCATTTCAGCTGTGTCCAAATGGAGCCTGATCCCAGGGGGAGGGCTGGTGGAGTGGATGGTATTGTAGCTTGTCTTTGGCAGCCAACAGCACGAAATGGACCTCGGCCAAGTGGAACTGCATTGTTTCTCTCCCTCTTTCTATCTTTAAGAAAGCAACTGACCTAATCCCATTTTTGTACACCTCCCAGTCAGGCTTCTAAGAGTTTTAAAACATCGACATGACCACAAATAAGCACTCATTAACCATTTCTTTCCCAAGTCTAGATTTTTTATTATTATTAATAATAATAATAATATTGTACTGATTTGGATCTTGGGTTCAGAGATGAAGAAAACTAAAAAAATAATATTCTTGTGAATGAAAACAGACTTTTTCCATGCTCAAATGTGTGACAATACCAAGGAAATGACTTTGGTATTGAAAATGAAAATTATTTTCTTAAGCTTCAAAAGAATGCAGGGGTTGAGCCTTGATGCTTAGAGGAATTTTCAGCTGGGTTTCCTTTTTTTGAAGGCTGGAAAGAAATGCACTGTACATAGGTACATGTTAACCTATGAAGAGTTTAATGCACTTTATTTGGTTCTGTCAGCCTTCAAGATTTTCTCCCTTTGCTTTGCATCTTTGGGCTGTCATAAGTAACGGGGGGAGGAGGGGGGAAAATTATGGGAAGTGAGCTGGAGGTGTTACAATCTAGTATTGTATAAAATGAGGAGGGGGGAGTACATTCTTGCTTAGGTTTCTATTCCTTGCTTAGCTTTCTCTTCTATGCAGCTGCAAACCTTTATCAAAGTATGCCAAGGTCAACGGACAGAAGCCTCATCACCACCTGGAGATGTCCACATGATGATATTCACAACTTTTAATTGGAAGAACCATTTGAACTATTGGGGGTGGGAATGTTGCCATTACTTTGTATATGTGATTTACGCGCCCATTTTCTTAGATTCAGAATTCTTTTGTTCCAGTAAAAGATATCTTTTCTCTAATTAAAAGAGTCTAAGTATTTCTTTCTTGGATTTTGAATGGAACACCAGCTGACAGGTTCCTTCTATTCTCAGGATGAATGGTGGAGCTGAGCATTTACTGGCCAGTTCGCTGGAGTTCGCAGCAGATATTTTCTCTTTGTGCCCTGATAGAGAAATATCTGTTGTTCTATCCTAGGCAATGAGAGATGTTTCTCTATCAGGGCACAAAGAGAAAATATCTGCTGCGAACTCCACATAGGCGTCGGGAAGGGCATCCAGCCAATAAATGCTTTGCTCCAATCAGTCACCCTAACTCCACTCTGATAAAAGGGTTGTAAAAAGAAAAAAAATGATTCCTTCTCTTCTTCCTCCTCTCCACTTCTTTTTCAGTTTTATTGAGCAATTTATTCATTTATTTAATATCTATGTCCCCCATCTCCCTGCCCATCTCCCCTACAAGGTGACTCTGGACTCTTGATGTTTTCTGGCAGCCAGGAATCCTCTGGTCTCCATCATGGCTACCCACACCTTTTACCACCACAGAGAAGAGGAACAGAAGGCAGAGAGGCACCGTGATTTGCAAATGACTTCACAGACAAGAAAGTCCAAATTCAGGACCAGGTGAGTCTAGGAATTAAGAAAGTCACAGAATACAGGTTGAGAAAAGGGTTCTGAGACATATCTTGTATGACCCATTTAAAATCTAGTGGCTGTGTTTTCACAACCTGCTCAACTTGTTTGGTTGGTTTCTGTGAAAGCTTACCTATTATGTAAATTCAGCTAATTTGGACAGGTTAGGCTTTAATATACAATACATTGAAAATAGATATATTCAGTGGGTAGAGTTTCCATAGCACAGGAAGCTACCAAAACTTAATCATAATCAAACTCAACATATTATGTAAATGCATCTAGCACATCTTAATAATAGTCTCCATTTTTTATGCACAAGCTCTCCAAACAAAATATTCTATTTATGAAACATTTTTATTATTCCCCGTTCTTTCATCCAAATATTTATGTTTCTAAATATTCTCTTCTTTTTTTTTTTTTGTCTGCCATCTCAACTTTCTTGGAACAGTGAAGAAGAAGAAAGTTTTACATCTCTGGATAGATCCATCGCATCTGCTCTTGCGCTGACAACTGAAGTATCTTGGTATGTCCAATGATTTACTGGAAGGAATTTTTTTTCTGCGCCAGGCTGGCTTGATAAATATAGTTAACATTGTATTCTGCATCGATGGACTTCTTTTCCCTTTCTGTCAATTATATATTTTGATGGATTTCTCTGAAGGCCACATCCACAGCCAGAGAAAAACTTTATGCAGAAACAACTATTCATTTAGTGAACTTTCAAAGTTACAACAGCACTGGAAAAAGCAACTTATGGCTGCTTTTCATACTTAGGATCACTGCAGCATCCCCATGGTCACCTAATCAAAATTTGGTTGCTTGGCAACTGCACGTATTTATGACGGTCACATCATCTATTTTTGTGACCTTCTGACTAGCAAAGTCAGTGGGGAAGCCAGATTTATTTAACAACCGTGTTATTAACTTAACAACTCTATTGATTCACTTAACAACTGTGTCAAGAAAGGTCATAGCATGGGGCAAAATTCACTTAACAACTATCTCATTTAGCAACAGAAAGCTTGGGCTCAAGTTCTGATCATAAGTTGAGGACTGCCTATATCCACAACATAAACACCTTTATTTTATAAAACAATAACAAATAGACATCTAACAAGATGTCTATTAGTATTTTTGTACAGATACTCCCTGACATGTATATATGATACTAGCATGTATATTTCCATATTAGCAATTTCGTTTATCTCCATATGTCATACGGTGTAATTATAGTAAGTGAATAACCACACATTAATAGTAGAGAAATGCCTCATAAAAATACAGATATGTGTGGGTGAGATTTGATTATTCACCTTTTTCTGGAGCCAGAATAAAACGGAATCAAAAGAGGAGATTCAGGGTTAGCATGAGGTCTATTTCTGAACCTGAAAAACTGGACTTTCCAATTCATGATTACCTTCCTCAGGGAAACCAGGATGAGACGGGAGGCCACTGTACTGGATCTGGAGGAGAGGGGAAAGAAGAGAATTCGCTTTGGGAATGACATGGAAAAGCTAGAGAAGGACGTCATCAGAAACTGCCGGTTCTTGCGGGTGAAGGCTGACAGGATGGCCCTTCGGAGGAAGGTAAAAAATGGGAGGTTTGCAGGGCACCTGGAAGGAGATGGCTTTTAAGCCTTAAAATACAGTCTGCAGAATATAATTTAGCTTTTGGGTCCAAGGAACTATGTAACAAATAGAAGAGGAGGGAGGAATAGTTTTTTAAACTTGTAGCTTTTTATTTTTTCATCTGGACCATTTTTTTTCTTTCCTGTATTATTCTGGGGCAGCAAAGAGGGCTCAATAGTGGTGATGTTTCTGGGATGAATTATTCAGTGTTGCACCATTCTTTCTTTTTTATTGATAGAAAAGTACAATCTATTGGACATAGTAAAACACAAAAGAGTTTCCTGTTAAAAAAAACTCAGTTGAAGCAATTGTTTGTATAACCCTAACTTTACCCATCTTGTGTAGAAGTAAATGTGTGAAGCTGAGCTGTAATCGTCTACTAACAGATTGAGTTTGTCTCAAGATTGTTACAGGAATGCATTATTATTAAAAGGTATTTTTAAGACTTAAAAAAAAACAAATAGAAGAGAATATTTGTAGTTAGGGTTGAACTGTGGAGTGAGTCCTTGATGGACTCTGAACTTTGTGGCTTTCCCTGCAGATGTTTCATTACCCAACTAGGTATCATTGTCAGTGCACTGATATTGTTTTCTAGTTATATAATGCAACATCTGCAAAAAAACTGCCAAGCTCAGAGACCACCAAGGGCCCCAACTATGAAACTGTTTGAGTGCAGTAGTTCTTGACTTATGACTGTTCATTTAATGACAGAAGCTTCTTTGGTTCTTGATATTGTTGAATGAGAAGCAAAATGTTTTCAAAGAAAAAAACCCAAGAAAGTCCAGTTGCCTTTTGGAAAAAAAACACCTTTGGGATAATTACCATGATGTTCTTCTTTACATTTCTCCAGAGGAAGCTTTGCAAGTGTAAAAACCCAGCATAAGTTCCTTTTTAATGTAACCAGCACTGTTGACATATCAGAGTTGGAAGAGACCTTGGAGATTATCTAGTCCAACCCCCTGCTCTCGCAAGAGACCTATACTAGATTTCTGATAAATGGCTGTCCAATCTCTTCTTAAAAGCCTCCAGTGATAGGGCACCCACAACTTCCGAAGACAGTTTGTCCCAACGGTTAATTGTTCTCACTGCTTGGAATTTTCTGCTTAGGTCTAGGTTGCTTCTCTCCTTGATTAGTCTCCATCCATTGTTTCTTGTCCTGACTACAGTTGCTTTGGTTAAATAAGTTGGTCCCCTCTTCCTTGTGGCAGCCCTTCAAGTATTAGAAGACTGCTATCATGATATGTGACATTGAATGACGTGTGACGTTCAATAGCATCCTAATCTTCATTTGTCTTTTCTTTGGAAAAGTTGCATCAGGGAAAGAAAGTTTATTTGTTTTGATGGCAGCCTTTGTACCACGGTAACAGTCCAAATATCACAGAGAGATTTCTAGGCAATTGTTAGTGTAGTACCTAGCCCAGTGGTGGCTAACCTTTTTGGGCTCCTGTGCCAAAAATTGTGCGCGCATTTCCATGCCAGCACCCAGAAGGCAATGCATGACCCCATGACCCCAATGCATGACCCCATGACCCCAATGCATGCACGTGCAATCCCCACCCTCACCCAGCCGCCCCATTACCTGCACTGCACTTCACAGCTGATTTTCGGCCAGTTTGAGGCCTTTTTCGGCCTCCCGAAGACTTGAGGAAGGCTTCTGCAGGCTTCTGCAGGCTTTGCAGGCCGAAAACTAGCCCCGTTTCATCATTTCCAGTATTTTTGGAAAAACAGGAAGTGACAAAACGGGGCTAGTTTTCGGCCTGCAGAAGCCTGCAGAAGCCTTCCTCAAGCCTTTGGGAGGCTGAAAAAGGCCTCAAACCGGCTGAAAATCAGCTGGGAGGCACGTGCATGCGCAGTGAGGTAAGCTTGCCTGCAGCTCGCATGCCAGCACAAATGGCTCTGCATGCCACCTATGGCGAACCTGCCATAGGTTCGCCATCACAGACCTAGACTAACTTGGCTGATCTGTGAAAAACTAAGCAGTGGGACACAATTGTTATTTAGATGAAAGACACCCAAGAAATCTCAGATTAGGACCTGCACTGAAGAATTAAAATTTTAAAAATCCTAAAAGATGGCAGTGTTAGATCAGTTCCATATTGTTACATGAAAAATAAATCGAACTGTCCAGGTGACATCCTGGACAATTTAACTCATCTAAAGGGAAGTGTTATTTTAATATTAACATCCAGAGAGTGCCAATAGTTCCCTGTCCCATGTCTGCGAAGGTATTTATAGAAACAGCAAGATAAAAAGTTATAAAACCATCTGCATTCTCGTCCAAGGCTGAAGCGAAGGCGCTACTGGAAAAGGAGGTGATGGGGCTGTTGTCCTGCCGGGCACCCATGTTTTGGGTCCCCCTGAGAGCTCACACAGTCTGGGAGAGGATGAGCGTCACGTTGGAATGCACTGTTCTGGCTAACCCTCAGCCCAAGGTCACCTGGTAAGTGGATCAGGAAGAAAATGTTGGCATCGTCTCTCTGAAACTATGAAAGAAGAACTCATTGTCCCTCTGAAAGATGGGTCTTCCATTGCTGGAAATTTTTAAGAAGAGGTTGAATAGCTATTGGAAAGGGGTCCTTGGGGCTCTCTGAGCTTTCTTTCTTTCTTGCAGACATTTCATTACCCAAACTAGGGAACATCATCAGCGCTAGAAGGGAATGGGGTTTGTCGAGTGGCAGAGAAGGAGAAGAGGAGAAGGAGGAGTGTAGGGTCCTTGGTGTTCTCTGAGCTTTCTTGCTTTCTTGCAAACATTTCATTACCCAATGAAACTAGGTAATATCATCAGTGCTAGTAAGGAGTGCAGTTTGCTGTCAGTTTATATTCTAGTGTCTTACCTGTCCATGTTGGTGGGAGCAGCCTTAGAAATTCTTTGGTCAGGCTGTTTGCTGTTGGCTTCTTGGAGGTTTCTTGATTGGGGTATTGTTTACCTGATTGTTGGTCTGAGCGGGAGTTTATCTATGCAGGTCTGAATGCTGATTACTGGTGGAGAGGTTCTGGGGTCTTTTTTTGTTATCATTTGGTGTGGTCCAGGGGTCCCCAAACTTGGCAACTTTAAGACGTTTTGGACTTCAACTCATAGAATTCTCCAGCCAGCATAGCTGGCTGGAAATTTCTGAGAGTTGAAGTCCACACGTCTTAAGAGTTGCCAAGTTTGGAGACCTCTGGCTCTGGTCAATTGTCTTTTTTGTATAGACTATAGATGTTGTTAATATCTATGTGTCTATTGATGGCTAATTTGTCAGATTGCCAGGCTTCTAAAAATGCCCTGGCACTATTGGACTTGGCTTGGGCTAGGATGGTCACATTTTCCCAACTGAAACTATGGTTAAATCTGTCTATACGTTGTAAAAATATAGAGACGGGTTTAACCATAGTTTCAATTGAGCTACAAATATTCTCCTTTATTGAATAGCCATTTCTCTTGCTTGAGCAGGGGGTTGGATTAGAAGGTTGGATTAGAAGGTCGGATTAGAAGAGGGCATGCATAAGTGCACCAATGTGCCTACTGTCCCTGTCCTATTGTTTCTTTTATTTTTCTTATAGGTATCCATTTCATGTATTCATAACTATGTTTACTCTTATACCTATTATCTTGTAAGCAATTGACAAATCAAATTAAAATTTTAAAAAACCCTCTAAAACTAGTCCCTTCCAACTCATGTTATTCTCATGTTCTGAAAAAGTCGCTTGACCTCACCTGCAGATTGCAGATTTTTCAGGATTGTACCCTTTGGGCTTAGAAAAGTGGACATGGTTGAATATTTGATCCTGTTCACAGAAAAATAGCGAGAAGTTTTATGCAAGTGAGGATTTTTTTTTCCCAATGGAACATTTCAATGTGTATGGGCTATATCAGGGGTGTCCAACCTTGGCAACTTTAAGACTTGTGGACTTCAACTCTCAGAATTCCTCAGCCAGCTATGCTGGCAAGTTGCCAAGGTTGGACACCCCTGGGCTATATCGTTTATTCCCTATAATTGTAGGACATGTTATGCCTTGTTGAGGATATGGGAAGAACGGATTTAATACCAGCCGAACCTCCGTTTTGTTTGCTTGCTTGCTTGGATTTTTTTAAGTGATGTTGCAAATGAAATTAACATAGCTTCCTCCTCCGCAGGTGAAAGAGTTTACAGTTGGAAAAACGTTAAATGCATTGCCCAAATTCCAGAAGGGTGTTTTAAAGAATGCATCTGTTGCTCAGAAACCATCCAATCTGGGGTTAAATTTTGATTTAGCTCAAAACTTATTCTCTGTGGTTGTTCTTACAAGCACTTCCCTTTTTGTAAAACAACCAAACTTTTTTCACTTGCTTTCTACACGGTTTCTTCACAACATCACATTCCCCTTCCGCTGGTCTTTTTCTTTTTTAATGGTAGTGGAAGATTTTTCACAAATGCCAAAACTATAAATAAATTGATGATGATGATGGACAATGTTACCTAGTTTGGTAATGAAATGTCTGCAAGAAAAACAGAGAGCACTAGGACCTCATAAACAGTTGAATAAGAGTTCTGTATTGATTTTTAATAACCTTTTCAGTTCACTATGACTGATATACATCTTTTTTCCAGCTGGTGCCTTCCAAATGTGCTGGATTATAAACCCCATCATGCTTGGAAACTCTTCATATATGAAAGACACTAGATTATTTGAAAGAAATGCTGTGGAACTCCTGTGGGAACAGCACCACTCTGCAGAGCCTGAAAAAAGTTTAACTACTTTAATGAAATCGAAAACTCTTCTTTCAAATAGTTTTCAATGTGTGTCGTTAGATCATTCATTCATTCATTCATTCAATTTCTATAGTCGTCCCTCTTAGTCAGTGACTCTGACTGTCTTACAATTCAAAGTGAATAATCCTATGTGATCAATCTTGGTGGACTTTCAACATTTCCAGAAACATCCTGAACACTCTTCATTTTTCTTCTCTTTGTACTTGACCAGGTTTAAAAATGGTGTTCGAATTGACCCTCGTGTTGCTCCAGCAGGGAAATATAAAATGAAGAATGAATTTGGAATGCTTACCTTGGATATCAGGAGGTAACTGATGAATCTAAATAGGATTAATTTTTAGGATGATTGTAAGAATGCACGAAGAAAACAGGAGTCACAAAGTTAAGAAAGCAACAGGAAACAAAGGTTGTGATTACATCCCACATTAACACAGCTCACTAATGAATAGTCAACTGCACTTTTGCAAGTTGCTAAGTTTAACTACTTTTTGCCTTGGTTAGTTCTAAACCTTGATAATTTTTGTGCACAAACCATCTACATTAATTGATGTTTCATGTACGAAAAAAAATTATGTAGTGTATGGCATATCATACATAATTAGCAATATATATTAACATTGGTAAAACACAATAAAATATAAATGAAAGAAAGATCTACATTCAAATACCAATGTCTAGGCCATCTAACCACTAAAGTGCAGCATTATTTATATCTTTAAAAATCAGATATTGGACCAGTATATGTCTTCAAGTTACAGCCAGTCACCATGTGATCTGAAAAAAATCAATTCTATGAGTTAAGAGATTGTTATGTGAAAACAGGTGAAGAGAAATCAAAATCCACAAATCATGTAATGAAGTTGAGATAGAAGGAGATAAAAAGTCACCACATCATTTGCTTTAACATATGGGCCAGCATTTCCCAACTTTAGCAAGTTTAAGATGAATGGACTTCAACTCCCAGAATTCCCCAGCCAGCACACTTTGGCTGGGGAAACACTGCCTTTGGTCAAATATGGAACAACTGGAGCATCTATTGTTTGCTTTTATTTTCAGATGCTCTTTGGATGATTCCGCCGAATACAGCGTGGAAGTGAAGAACTCTTATGGAGAGGCCAACTCATTTGCAACTGTATTTGTCAGGAGTAAGTCTCGACTTGACTTTGACAAGTGCAAAAACATCCTTGCAAAGTCAAATGTTCTCTGCATGAAACTTATTTCTTCCTCAGATGCACTGTTGCAATACAAGCGATGCGTGTTTTCTGACTAATTCCCATTACTCACTCATTAATCCAAACATTGCCAATTTTTTCTCTCCTCCAGGCATGTTAGAAAAGGATTCCCAGCACTCCCCTAGCTAGACGTTGATCGGCGGGAGGGTAGCCCAACAGCTGGAAAACACCTGGTTGGAAGGCGATTGCCAATTCGGGCCTCCTTTGCAGTTTTCCATCAGTTTTATGCCAAGGGTGTTTCTTCAGGCTAGGACCTAGGTAGAGTTCTCAATCCATTTTTGTCTAAAGTAAAACAAAAAAAGAAGCTTGATGGAGGCTAGAATTGGGTTTCCATCAAGTTTGGCATTCTTAGCTGTTTGGAGACTCACCTCTCCTGATTTCAATGTGGGCTTTTCTGCATTGCAACTTGAACCTACTTGGCTCCTGTGAGTAATCTGCCTGGGAATGAAACCAGTTTCAGAAATCCCTTTCAAACCACTAGCCGCCTTTGCTATGGGGGAGGCCTGGAGTTCTGTCTGGAGGAAACTTGAAACAGTCAACATATGGTGGATCTCCCTGCTTTTTTACCTTTCTAATCTCTACTAGGAAAGAAAGCAGAAACACTTTTTTTTTCTTTTTTGAGGTGCATTCTTCTTGGACTGTAAAACAAGAAAGCGAAAAAAAGGAGAGGGGAGTGGAGTGGAGGGCAGGGTGGGGCAGAGAAGGGAAGGGAAGAGCAAAAATGAATGGAAGTGAAGGAGGAGGAGGAGGAAAAGGAAAGGGAAACGGAAAGGAAAACAAGAGAAGAGAAGAAGGAAAAGGAAAAGCTAGTTCCCCCATTGGAATGGAATGGAATGGGATAGAATAGAATAGAATAGAATAGAATAGAATAGAATAGAATAGAAT